TATCCGAGATATATGATAGAGAAATAAAAGTATTCTTCATTCTATTAAAAGTTGACCGTGCAATTTCAATGCGGCATCTTATTTCTTTTGCCTGATCAGTATCTTCTGTGATCCATGCTCCAAGGCAAGATATTTGTTCAATTTCTGTTTTATCTAGTACTAGCTTAACTTTGATGTTTTATGCTTTTGTAAATACCACGAACTTGGTTTTCTTCAAATCTATTTTTAGTCCATATTCATTGCAATATATATTTAGTCGTTCAGCAAGGTTTTGCAGTTCTTCTAGTGTTCTTGCCAGAAAGCGGTGTCGTCAGCATATCTCGTGTTATTAAGTGGCTCACCGTTTATTATAAGGCCCTCACTGACCTCGGCAAAGCGCTAATTCTGAGATGGCTTCACTGTATAAATTGAATAACAAGGGCGATAAAATACACCCTTGGCGGACCCCATGGCGAATCTGGATATCCTCAGTCAGTTCATTTTCAACTTTCACTTTTGTTGTTTGGTTCCAATAGAGGTTACATATGATTCTAATGTCTCTACTGTTTTTATTTAATAAAATTTCTTTAAGCCGATTATGCTTCACTGTCAAATGCCTTCTCAAAATCAATGAAACAGGCATATACTTCCTGATTTATATCTAAGCATCTATGCGAAAGAACACTTACTGCAAACAGTGCATCTCATGTTCCCAGTCCTTTCCTAAATCCCATTTGTGAATTACTTATACCTTCATCTAATTTTTTATGGATTCTATTGTGAATTACTTTTAAAAACAATTTCAAGACAAGACTCATTAAGGCTATGGTGCGATGTTCATTGCACTACATGAATACTGTGGTAAAACTGCATTAGAATCTTGGATATTGTAAAAAAACAATTTAATTTATAAATTATATTTTATACGACAAAAAAAGTACAACTACTCTTTGGAAATTTTTTTTGACATGTCTATTCTACTAATTGAAATCAAATATTTACTTTCAATATTTTCGTCATAAAAAATTACAAGTATTCAAAATGCATTGTATTTTACAAACAGCTAAATAACTTGATCTAATAAAAATGCAACAAAGAGGTTAAGAATGGCTGAAAACATTGTTAATGATTTGTAATCGCTGAGTATGTCCGCCTGTACAATATTTTTGTAAGAAAAAGTTCATTGCAATATATATTTAGTTGTTCAGCAAGGTGTTGCAGTTCTTCTAGTGTTATTGCCAGAAGGACGGTGTCGTCAGCATATCTCGTGTTATTAAGTGGCTCACCGTTTATTATAAGGCCCTCACTGACCTCGGCAAGCGCTAATTCTGAGACGGCTTCACTGTATAAATTGAATAACAAGGGTGATAAAATACACCCTTGGCGGACCCCACGGCGAATCTGGATATACTCGGTCAGTTCATTTTCAACTTTCACTTTTGTTATTTGGTTCCAATAGAGGTTACATATAATTCTAATTTCTCTACTGTCTATGTTTTTATTTAATAAAATTTCTTTAAGCCGATTATGCTGCACTTTGTCAAATGCCTTATCAAAATCAATGAAACATGCATATACTTCCTGATTTATATCTAAGCATCTCTGCGAAAGAACACTTACTGCAAACAGTGCATCTCATGTTCCCAGTCCTTTCCTAAATCCCATTTGTGTATTACTTATGCCTTCATCTAATTTTTTATGTATTCTATTGTGAATTACTTTTAAAAACAATTTCAAGACAAGACTCATTAAGGCTATGGTGCGATGTTCATTGCACTACATGAATACTGTGGTAAAACTGCATTAGAATCTTGGATATTGTAAAAAAAAACAACAATTTAATTTATAATTATATTTTATACGACAAAAAAAAGTACAACTACTCTTTGGAAAATTTTTTGACATGTCTATTCTACTAATTGAAATCAAATATTTACTTTCAATATTTTCGTCATAAAAAATTACAAGTATTCAAAATGCATTGTATTATACAAACAGCCAAATAACTTGATCTAATAAAAATGCAACAAAGAGGTTAAGAATGGCCGAAAACATTGTTAATGATTTGTAATCGCTGAGTATGTCCGCCTGTACGATATCTTTGTAAGAAAAAGTTCTCTAGAGTTTTGAAACATGGTAGGTACATAGATTAACTCTTGATATACTCAATAGATCTTGAATACCAATATTATTTAAAATTTTGAAGAGAAATACATGAATAATTATAAGTTTTCAATATGAAGTAAATAAAATTATGAAGTTAAATTTCAAATTCTGTTGGGTCCATTGATAATCCGTTGAATCAATTGATTTAATATATGATTTACTTCGTGAATTTCTAGAATTTAAGTTAGAACAAATGAATTAGTTATCCCAGACTATGTGATCACAGTTTTGATACACAGAACAATAATTTCTTCCATTATGTTAATGGAACAACTGAGAGTAATATTGCCAAGTTTAATGAAAATATCATTAAATGTCATGTGTATTTTGGGATAACAGCAAGATTTATGTGTGATCTATTGGTAATTTTGGATACTAAGAGTAAATTATGACAATTTAAATTTAGTCCAATTTTTGAAGATATATCTCGTAAGTTATACTGAAAATAAATGCTCAATTTCTAAATACTGATTTTATCATTAGTTACTATAATAAAATATATAACGACTAAAATAACTACAGGTACTACTTTTAAAGAGCTAGATAATGGTATTTTACATGCTCCAGCTTCATATTGTAATTTCATTGCATATTTCAGGTGAAGATACACAAAATGCAATTTGATAGAACAAAAAAGTAGTTTAGTAACTGTCTAATAAATTCTAGGCCTCGCCCAGAGATCGCAATATCATTTACTTCATCAATTAATAGTTTCTTTTTAATATTTGTAAACTTTATAACATTCTAAGTTACAGTAAAATAGAATTAAGCACAAAAATATGTTTTATAGCTCAATTACATACCATTATTAAACAAAAAGTAAAATTTGATACGGTGGTTCTAATAATTTTATCACCCACTGTAATGCAATAAGAACTTGCAATAAATTGTAATTTTGGTGAATATTTAAATACTAATTTATAAAAATAAATAACGAGCATTTGTGTATACAAGATATCCGGCGGAAGTACAATGAAACTATGGTTTAATTCCTTAAAGCAATATAATTCCTTAAATTAGAAAATAAGGTAAAAAGTTTATGCTAGATAATATCAAGCAAAATAAACTTGATAAATTAATTTTACTGACCATAAATATTTATTTTTTATATGGAATTTAAATGTTAACCAAATATGTATAGGTATGTTATTTTACCAGTCTCTTCAATTTTAAAACATATGATAAATTTAATACACCTAATAAAATACCACTACTTACACTCCCATAAAATTTTCTCAAATTCAAACTAATGTTTTTTAAACTTTTGAATGCATTGAAAATTTGGCATAAGCATATTATGTGAATAAAAAAAATATGATTTTTTATAATTTTTTTTATAAGGTTTGTGTTATAAAATTAGGGATTTTTCATGTTACTATGTGAAATTTGAACTATATTAAATGCCTAAACAATGTCGCAACAGAAAATAATAGCCTCTTGCAATTTCTTTAGTTTAATTATATTTCTACTATAATGCTCATATGTTACAAAATTAGTTTAAAAAAGTATTTCTTGTAGATTTAACATAATAAAAACATTTGAGTTAAGTAAGCAAAGTTAATAATCTGACCCTTTTCAATATTTAACTTTTCAATTTTGTATGCACTAAAAAGGACTGGTCCATTAAATTTTCAGCAAAATTACTGATTAAATATTGTTTGTTTTTAGCACAATTTTGCATTTTAATGTGTAAGAAAAACCATATTTTTGCACCAAAATGTCAAAATATGCCATGTTTTCAGTGGCATAGCAGTTGACATTAACTTTTTTTAAATATTCTTAGGTCAGGCTAAACGGGAGTTGAGCAATGATTAGTTTAGGGCACCCATCACAACCAAACTTATATTTGACATTTAATGTAAGCTTAATAAAGAGTTGCCATATCTTCAGTTTTTTCATACTCTCACATAATATTATATAAATGAATTGAAATTATATAAAAATTCATGCATTTTAATTAAATTAAAGATAATAATTAAATGCATATACAATAAAAAGTGTCATTGTAGGGGTTGACCATTCGCACCTAACAATATGAAGGTCCTAATAGACAAGATGTAGAAAGTGCTGTCAAATAATTTACAATATTTAACTGCATTTAAAGTAACAGAAAATATTTATGAATGCTGTTTTATACTTATTCCAAACTTGTAGCTTCTCATAACACAAATTATAATTTCGTAAAAGTAACTTTATTTTATTTTAAACATTCATAACTATATTTTACAAAAAAATATGGCAACACTTAATTAAAAAATTTAATTTAAAACGAATAATATACTGTTGGAAGTGTGATCTTATAATATTGTTAGTTCTCGACAAATAATTGTTTTTACATAAGTTTTTTTACATACTTTTTAAATTACATGTACAATAACCACATGGTCTCTTGCTGTTCTAAGTTTGAGTTAATTTGTAAACTGTATTTAGTTTCAATTAATTGTTTATACAACATAACTATTTAATGCCTAACATTTTAAGCTTCTTTATGTATTTAAATATAATAACATTGCCTGCTACATGTCTTTTTGAGGTAACACACTTATAATTACTTTTGTATGGATGTGTGGTTTTTCATATTGTTCTTTTTAGATGAACTGATGAAGCTTTCTGATTAGAAAGCGAAACATCTTCAATAAACAGATAAAGTAGCAACCTTCTTTGTCTTTTTTCTCCACCTTTTGACCAAAAAACCCACCACTCTTTGAGTGATCCTAAAAATATTATATTATAAATATATATATATATTATATATTTATATATATATATATATATATATATTATATTTACATATATATATATATATATATATATATATAAATATATATGTTATTTATATGTTTACAGCTTGAATATTCAGTCCATAGATTCTACTATAAAAACTTGTCAAAAACTAATACACAATGTGAACATACTACTTCAAATTTCAAGACATCACATCACATAAACATGAATGATTAATAAATGCCACTTTGTAATTTAATAAAATAAAAATAATTTCAAATAGGATATAAACAATGTGAATTTGCTGTAAAATACAGTAATTACTTAGGGTTCTTAGTAACAGAAATAACAGTGCCAATTTGGAACCAATTTTCTACTTAACTTCTCTAATTTTCTAATTTCTTTAACATTATTATCATGACCTCTGCTTTTCATGTTATGACCTTGCTGAATTAATATCACATAGTATAAATGAAAAACCCTTACATTTTATCCTTCACTTATATATCTTTAATTTATCTTAACTTCTATAGGTTTTTTATTAAGAATATGAGGCTCATACTTTTCATACTCTTCCTCAATAACTGATCTATCCAGATCAGCATTTAGAACAATAACAGGAGCCTTACAATTATGTAATGTTTTATTATACAGCCAATCCTCATGTATATCATGCAGGGCTTTGATATATTCAAATGCAACAGTCTTCTCCTCTGACCTATTACGTTTTAAGATCCTCTCATATGCAATGTCAGGAGAGGTTCTTAGATACACAATAAGATCAATTTGAGCTTCATCTGTTGCTGTTATGTATTTAAACCATTCATCAATTACTGCCACTGAAGCAGGTGGCATTAAACCATCCCTGGACATTTTTTCTACAAAACAATACCTTGCACTATATAATGACCTCTCCATTAGCTTTACTGGCTGATGTATCTTTTTCTGATGTAGTCCTAACATTGTAAGCTGCACATAGGACTGGAAGGTAAAGCTCCACTTTTTTGGATCCTTATACATTAAATCCTGGAGAGAAAATAAGGATATGAAATCGATAATTAATAATAAGTGCCTATTAGAAAAATGTTCTAAACTTTGAGCTAAAAATCTAAATTTTGTACATAAAAACCCGTTTTTGATTTATTACTAAATTAAGGTGATAATTTGGATATTAGTTCATAAGCAAATTATATTAAATGAAGCATCTAAATGTGTACAGATGTAAGAAATACTTAAAATATATACTAACCAATAAGTTATATCCACTGCAGTTTCTCCACATATCTATAGGTTCTGCAAACACAGCAACATTTTCATTTTTGTTAAAGTGTTCCAAAAATGTAGTTTTTCCACTGCCAACATTTCCTTCAACAACTACTGTAAATGGACGGCTATTATTACCTCGGGATATGGGAGACTGGGCCATTTTAGCGATTATATTCTTAATCTTATTCATATGTTCCTTAGTGGTGCAACATTATAAAATGTAATAGTTACACGAATCTTGGCAATTATTAAAATTGTATTAAATCACAACGTCTAATTACACTTCTCCAACACTATCCTAAAGCAAATGCCATAATAAGTAGAGAAACTGTAGATATTTATTTCCCTCCAAAAAACAACCGCCAATTATTTAAACTCCCTCCACCATTGACATTTTAAAGATACTGATCGTCAATAAATATTACAACAAAAGATACTTTTTAAGCAATTAAACTTTAGTTTAACTTTAGTAAATTATAGTATGTACTCTTATGTCTTGTTTAAAATTTAAACAAAAAACAAATCTTGGTTATTGAATCAATCGCAATAAGGGGGAAATGTGACTTTGTCGATATTTTCATATAGCCAGGAAGCCAGGAACATACGGAATTATTCAACACGTAAAATTGTATGATTGCACAATTATTGTTTAAACGATATTTTAACCCTTAAAAATGTAAATTATATATTACTTAGTCTGTAAGTATAAAGTAACGATTACTTTATCAATTACTTAATCTTTAAGTGATTTGTGAACTATTATCACCGCTTACATCATGATAATAATATATGATAAATGATATAATTATAATTTTTATTTTAAAGGTTTTTTGAAAACGATTATCGGATTGGAAATCGAAATGACAAAACAAATGAAAAATGTAATTATTACAATCAATTGTGGTCAATTATTACAATCAATTACAATCGTATATATTAATATGTAACTTAAACATTCAACAAAAATCAGTTTAAGAACGTCTTCACATTATGATAATCTATTATAATACTTTAATTTTTGATATATTTTGGTAATTTTTTAATAAAAAAATGCCAAAGAACTAAATTTAATTTTTTTATTTCATAGCAACTATCCCCAAGAAGAAGATTAAATCTTCTTTTTTCAAAAGAGAGAATGACAAGAAAAATGAGAGATAGCCAAACATTTTGCTACAACGGCAACTGTTACTGTTTTCCACATTGTTTTCATTTGTCGACATTCGACGATTTGACATTTGTAGGTTATATTACAGTTTGTTATTGCAAGTACATAAACATTTGAAATTTAATAGAATAAAAATAGCAGGATTTAATATGGGAGACGTAAAAATTGAAGAAATGGATTTGTATGAAATGCTAAATATTGATATCGGCAGTTCAATATCAGAGGTAAATATTAATTAATTTTTTTGGACAAAGTTCCATATATTAGTTATATATTGTATTGAATAATTATTCTAGAAATAAACAAAGTAAGTTCTATAGTATTCCTATTTAGATCACTATGTTGTTATCCTAATAATGTATCCCTTTATTCTACTTTGAGTAAAATTCGTTTGTAATTTTTACCACAAATTATTCATAACTTGTACTTTTGGGAACAAAACAAACTACCATTTACTACCTCTTACATAATCGTTAGTACCATTTCCCTGTAAGCCTCTAAATATTATTTTGGTTTGCAGTTGTAAAATTATTCCAATAAATTATTTATTAACATTTTTTAGATAAAAAAAGCATACAGAAAACAAGCCTTACAATGCCATCCAGATAAAAATCCAGATGATCCAAATGCTGCAAAAAAGTTTCATGAATTATCCAAGGCATTAGAAATCTTAACTGACGAGTCAGCCAGAGCTGCCTATGACAGAGTACTGAAAGCTAAAAAAGAGGCTGCTCTGAGGCATAGAGAGTTGGACAGCAAGAGGAGGAAATTGAAAGAAGACTTAGAATATCGAGAAAAACAGGGATCAAAACAAAAAAGTGCTGATGACCTATTAAAAGTAATTGGTTTAATTTTTCTATCCTTACATATAAGTAATTTCACACTAAACTAAAGACTAACTCATCTATATTTTTGATATATAATGTGTATCATCTATACATTATGACTCCTTATACTTGGTATATGGTATCTATATGGTATAATAACTACAAAATAGTATTTAGTTTCATTTTTAACAAATGGAAGTATCATGCAGTCAGTAGGTGAATATAATTACACATATTCTTCTTCTTTAGGTTCCTTCTATCAGTTGAAAGATGTCAGAGGTTGGAAATCATCATCGCTATTTTAATTTTATTGGCAGCGCTTCTGAATAATTCTAATGAGCTGCAATCGAACCACTCTCTCAAATTTCTCAGCCAGGATATTTTGTGTCGTCCTGGGTTTCTTTTCCCTTGCTATAACTAAGTATACTATTCTGCCCCATTATATGACCAGTATGAATCTTTCTAATTTTAACAGTTTTTATGACTTCACATTCTTTCTTCCTTCTTTGTAACACCCCTATATTAGTTACTTTTTCAGTTCATGATATTCTGTGGATTCTCTGTGGCACCACATCTCAAAGGAGTTTAATTTTTGATTTCAGACTGTTTTATTTTCCACGCTTTCATGCCGTATAGTAAAGTAGAAAAAACATAACAATGTAGCATTCTTGTGCGGATCTCTAGAATAAGGTCACAGTTGCAAAGTAAGTTCTTGTATTTTATGAATGTGTTTCTTGCCATTTCTATTCTAGATCTGATTTCTTTTGTTTGATCTCCATCTTCGGTTAGCTACTGTTCCTAAATATTTATATGTTGATTACTCTTTCAATCATTGTATTATTTATGATCAGGTTACCTACATTTTGTGTGTTTTTTGAGAATATCATTGATTTCGTTTTCTTGAGATTCATTTGCAGTCCTTGAGATTCACATGCATTGTATACATGTTGTATTATGTACTGTAGATCTTCCATGTCACTTGCAAATATGACTGTATCATCCACATATCTAATATTATTATTGCTATTTCCATTGACCAAAATACCTTCCACATATTTACACATAATAAAACCTATTCTTTTTCATTTTATCTTTTTATCAAAATCTTTTTTATTTGATCCAAAGCTTTATCTCTTTCCAGATATATATAATAATAAATATATAATATATATAATATATATATATATATTTATATATTTTAAGTACTTTATTATTTTAGTTTTTAATGTGCTTGTAAAAGTATTAGTAATTACACATATTGTTATTTATTTTATTTGTTTGGTAATTGTTTGTTGACTTTAGGCTGAAATTGAGAGATTAAGAAAAGAAGGATCGAAGCAAGTGCAGGAGGAAATAGAAATAGTAAAGCAGCAGCTACAGAAAGAAAAATCAAATCCACAGTATTGGGATGGATCTAAACACAGGATAAAAATAAAATGGTCAGCTGATAAAACTGACAGTAGCAATGGAGGATACAACCAAGAAATGTTAACAAGGTTTCTATCAAAAGTAAGTATATCCATTAAATGTGTTTCCTTAATGTTTTTCTACTGTCTTTGTTTTCTGGTGGTTAGTAGTAAGTATGGAAGTGGGATAGAGGTCTTGGAGAAATGGTGTGTGCACTAGCAAAACCTGTCATATTAGATTTTGAAATATTAATTTGATACATCTGTATATGATAATTTACAACAAATAGGTATTGTTTTACCAGTAGTTTCTTATGAGGAAAAATCACATCTTCTTCTTCTTCAGCCTTCATTTATCCATTGTTGGACATAGGCCTTCTCCAATTGCTTCTAAGTTACCTAAGTACTTTTGCAATTCTCATCCACTGCTTTCCTGCTACAGTTGTTTTATTGTCTATCTATCTCTTTATGGGTCTTCCCACGCTTCTTTTTGTTTCTCGAGGTCTCCAGAATATCACTTTATGAGACCACCTGTTGGTGTCTTGTCTTGCTACATGTGCTACCCATTGCCATCTCAATGTTGCTATTTTTCCCATTATGTCGGTTACTTTAGTGCTTCAACATATTCCGGTGTTAGGAATTTTGTCTCTGAGGCATATATTTAACATGGCCCGTTCAGTTACTCTTAATTGTTCTGCCATTTTTCTTGTTATTGCCGTCATTTCCAATCCATAAGTTGCAACCGGTAGTATACAAGTGTCATAGGATTAAGTATATTGGGATTTTTCTGTCTTTTAAAATGAAGCTCAACTTACCAAAAGCTGCCCATGACAATTGTGTCCTTTTAATTTCTAGGGTTTGATTTTCCTTTTCGTTTTTTAATTGCATGTCCTAGATATATGTATATTGTTCTACCTTTTCTATATTGATGTTATCTATCGTGATGATCTATCTGTCGTGTTGGTCACATATTTGTATATAATTACTGAGAGATATTTCACACATAATAGTGATAAAGTAGCTTTTGACATATTAATTCGAATTCGAAATTAAATAAAGTATTGTTTCGAATGTTCAAGCAAAACCGCAGTTTTCATGAAAAATATATTTTGGCATGTTTTTTTCAATGTAATAATTTAATTTATTACTAAGAAAGAAAATATATGTTCTAAACATCAAAGTTTTTTCGCTCTTCTAAAAAGTCATATATGTTGACTTATGAGGTTTCAACATTTGACAGTCAATATATTCAGATATATTTCACACCTTTACAAAATAAGCAAATAAAAACATAAAAAGCATCTCCCAAGAAAGGTGATATATATGGCTACCACTCACTTCAATTTTACCCCACTAAACAAAAATTTTCTCACAAAAAAATAAGTGACTGATACTATCAGCAGCTCCCTGAATATTTTTCCATTACTTGTGATAATATCTATTGTTTTATAGTAAACAATAATTGTCGTGTGATCCCAAACAGAAAACCTTGTGGAGTTGAAATCAAGGACCCTAAAAAGACCAAAGAGTTCCAAAACTTCCTTTAGCCTCATGTCTGGAAAGTTGTACTTTACCCGAGACAACTCACGCCTAAAATGTTCCGTCAATACTCACGGTTGGTCATTTTTACTGACTTTAAACTGACTAAAACATTAACACATTATTTTACAAAAAATAACTTTATTGTGAATGATACAATGTAAAAATAAACAGTATTTAAAAAAATTGTCTTGTTTTTAACAAGTTTAAAAATAATATGTAACATAAATGTTATTTTTTGTTTTTCCTTTGTGGTACAATATGCACACGTCCTATGATATTATATGCTCTAGCGGTTGCTGGTTCACTAATTTCCATTGTCAGCTGTCTGTGCTTGTTCATTACATAATTCTGTGGCAAAAGTTCTCAAAAAGAACAGTTGTTTTAGATTTGATTTCGTATTGAACTAAAATATAATTTTTCTATTTATTCCCACAATATTCAATAACAAGAAAACAATTTTTAGCGGCCATCTCGAGGTGTTACGTGAAACGGAATATCTACTTTCATTTCATATATACTGTTTCAATACCAACCCTTATTTTATTGTAGTACAATATTATTTCCGCTTTTTTTTTGTGACATCGTCGTGAACTTATCCAATATGGCGCATCAATACACATGATAGTAAAGTTATGTTACTTGTAAATCCACAAATAGTGCTGTTTACTTCTCTATTCTGGAGCTGACGAATTCTGGTGGTAGTTCTTTCTCGTTTTTTGGGATGGTTCAAACAACTGTCAAATATT